ACAAGTTTACATTTATTACATTTTTCTCTGTACTTCACTGATTTCTATTTTGACGCACTTTTTTGCCGCGACTGGATGTGTTTAATTAACCTCATTGAAGGTAGCTTAATATTGAGGTATTAAAATATACAGAAAAGCCAACAGAAACGTACAGAAATAATTATAAAGCTGTGCTGGAATAACTTTACATGGTCGAATATAGGTATTAACTTTACGCTTTAGAATAACAATTCCACCTTTCTTTGACAGTTTCACTGTTGTGCCAAACGAGCTTTTGGCATTAACAAAATATTCTGTGAGTTCAAATAAGAAATTGAAATTCCCTAAATTATTTTCTATACTTTACTGCATGATTTCTATTTTGCCCATTCAATCTGTCCTATGGTTATTTTCGATCTGAATCGGAAGACGCTGTTAGACCGGTTTAAAGATTCCATAACCCCATGCACCTGCCAGATGCATGGGGTGCTTATATTTTTTGAGGACATATTTTTCTATGTCGCGTGATATATATGCTCAAAACCTCAGTTATATCTTCATGCAACAGCACTAAAATTTTCAACATTAAAAATGTTTTGCAAACCCGAAAAGCATCCACAAAGTATGTTTACTGTATTATCTCAAAATATTCAGAAAATGAAAAGATTTCTCGGGATACGCCGAGAAGAAAATGACACTTGAATCCAAGCTTCTTTTGTATTCATTTCAGTTATAATAGCGTTGACATTATAACATTGTTGATAGCCGCATTATATTTTGTAATAACTCCTTAATTTGTTTAATTGGTGTTTTGCATTTACGAAATACAGTTCAAAACTTAGTTCACAACATAATCTAAAGAATAACGGTAAAATGAATGAATTTTGAGTGGTACGCCGAAAAGATTTTAGGTTTTGAGCGTTTTCCCGCCAAAATAAAAAATCTCCTCTTAATTTTATGCGATGATCCGGCGCACAGGAGTCGATGCAAGCATACGTTATGCCTTTGGGTGTAAAAAAATTCACCTCTGTTTAGTTTCCACTTCTCTGATTATCTCAAGAAATTATGTCATAAAAAAGGTAAAATATAGTACTCATATAATTCTCAAGTATGTATTTCGCTTTTTTGAAACTCAACAATTTTTAGAGAGTTTCCATGGTAGCGTTCGTTTATATATAGCTAGCTGCATGTCGGTGCGACTAAATATTAAAAAAATTTCCTAATATTATAGGAATTTTCTTTTTGTATAATTGTGGTGATAAAAACATCTTAAATTTTAGCACATTTTCACGTTTAAAGTTGCGCGATTAATTTTCCTAAAATGAGTTTACTAGCTACTTCAGGCCAAGCAAAAAATAACCAATCGCCGGACTATATGGCCCGTTTGAGACGTCGAACTTTTCATGTACCGAACCTAATGTTAATCCTGGGGCTAAAGTCTTTCTTTAACTTCATTGCATTCGATTCGGCACATGAAAAGTTCGACGTCTGAAACGGGCTTAATGTGCAGTCGGTTATCGGGCGTAATTTATATCAATAGAAAACTCAAAACGCGATTCACAGTTTAAAATACAAAGGTATTATATATTATAGACTTCAAAAATATTTTAGTTTTCGAATATGATAAAGACATAACTATACTAACCTTACTTGTCGTAGCCTTGGTTGAGCGCTAGGAGCCATTCACTTTATACTGTGCCTTCAGGGACTCGTCAGGTCCAATATATACGCAGAATTTTGCAATTAAATCCTAGGGCTCCTTTAATTTTCTATAATTAGTTTCTCCAAATATGGTTATGTTTTCATGAAATTTTATAAAAGCAATCATGCTCCATGCATGCAGTCACCGGGGTAATTCATTTTTTATTGTAGGAATACATTAACATGGATGACGCTACGCTGCACGAAAAAAGCATTTGGTAATTGTTTTATATATAATAACTACAGTGAAACAACGATATTCTGAGAATCCTGCGAAAATCCCGCTAGTACATTTTAACATTTTAAATTCCTCGTGCACGATTGTCTGACCTGCACGGATCAAATTGCGTGTTTCACTGTAGTTTTTGTGGGTAGCCGCTGCGCATGCGCGGCTAACCACTATGTTAGCTGAAAAGTGTCCGCGTCCGTCTAAATGTCCACATCTTCGGAAATCGTCGGATAAGTGAACAGATCACGATTATGAACTATTAGTGTTTGTTGACATCTTCGGTGATTGTCGCATTACCGAAACCTATGCCGAAACGAACTAACATGGAAGCACACCACTAACAGTTGCAATTGCACGTTTTCTGGAATTCGGGAACATATTTATTGATTCAGTCGAAGTACTTTTGGCATGGGGGAACATATTTATTGATTCGTAAGTACTTTTGGCATGCTATTTATTATCCATATATAATTGTATATGATTTCCAAAGGTAACACGGCATATAAAGTATTAAAACTTGTTTATATCGCCCATTTCATTTGTTGATTAATTTCAAATAGTTAAATTTAAAAACGTTTGGGCTAAACCATAATAGATTTTAGGCCTATGGAAATTTAAAATGGCTTTTGTATTGTAAAACAGAGCGGATATTGATACACCCTGCATATTTAATACCTTGTATATATTTAATGACTTGTAGATACATGGAAATGTTAATATGCACACATTTGTATTTTTTGAATATGAAATATTTATATTCTATTTGCTTCAAAAAGATCAAAATATTAAATGCTAAATTATGCTTCCTGTAAACACTAAAATTGAGCATAGGAATTATGCTTAAATTCACAAACCGCATGTGGAAGCAGTGGAACAGGGATACAAACAGAACATATTGATTTATAACAAGATCTCAAGGTTTAGTTTCTTTATAATATTTGGATGAAACTGGCAAAAGTTGTGCTTCAGTTTTGAATGAAACTGGCAAAAGTTATGCTTCAGTTTTATGAAAAATGTAACACATGGATCGAAAATGTGTCAGCACCCCTTAACTATTGGTGATGGAAGGAAATGGCTGAGATATCTAAAATGCAGGGGACTTGATAGATCAGGTTGTATAGAAAAATAGTAATCGAAGACCAATATAGTCATTGCAAATGTCCCATTCCCAAAATTCCATGTTTAGACATAAAATTAATATAAAAATTTTACTCAAGTTAGTTTAAACTCACAGACAATGTGTATATTGTAGAAACATATGTGTATGTAAACTACTGATAATATATTCAAATCAAGACCTAACATATAAATATATAAGTTCAAAGTGATATAAGATTCTTTAATTAAATTATATGAAATATATACCATTTTGTCAAATAACAAGTGTCAATTGTCACTAGGAAGCTCTAACATAATTTAACAGAACTTTATACTTTTTTTGTTTTACTTTTTTTTTATGTTCCTATAAACATAATTTTTAAGATAGTTAAATGATTTTCTTCTGGATAGTGTCATAAACAATGTCCAGTTCATCAATGTCTGCTATCAATTGATTGATAAGCTTTTCTGGTGTCATTTGATTTAGCGAGTCATCTGTGGAACATCTAGCTATGAGCTGATGCACAATGATGTTGAAGGCTGTCAAATTGAATTCGTACAGGAACAATAACATCCGATATGCTAGCTAATAAATAATCAAGGGGCATAAAAAAGAAGTACTTTGAAAATGTTAAAAAAATCTTTCTCTCCTTCCAAACTAAGCTTTATGTTATCAGACGATTTGTACCACCAATCTGGAACCTTATTCTCTTTTTTGTTCTGTCCACCTATTCTGTTTTTTAAAAACCATGCATTTCCTATCTTTTGTAAATATGTTTTTATATATGTTAATATTCTGTCGTTAAAATTGTATTTAAATTAATACAATAAAAAGATTAAATATATTGTGCAAAAAAATCGATTTCGTGGATTTAACTGGCTAACATATGGCATTAGAAAGTAAAATTATGAGCATTAGTTTATATTGACTCGCCACTATAGCAGCCTGTAGTTTGACATTGAATCAAACTTGAATTTTTTTGCCAAACCATAGCTTCATCGCAGCCAATGATTTGCAAATGTTTTAGAGGCTACCCACATGTACGCATTGCGTACCTATTTTTATAAAATTGTTTTTCCCAAAATTGAAGGGTTCATAAGTTCGGCATGCGATTATATTATATTCTATGACACTATCAGCCGTTTCTTAGCTGTCAACTGCACCATCTGAGACAAACTGCTGAAATACACAAAAGAAGAAATTCGCTTTGCGGAAAAAATATCACTATATAGCCTAGTGATTTTTCTTGTTTGCATTTTGATATTGCATCTAAATTTTTTAATTTTTATGGCAAATAACGGCAAACATGAAACAATTTAATTAAATATACCCGCAGGGAGCCTGAACGTGGCAATGTTCTTTTGAGGTAAACATTTTCAGTTCCACGTTGAAAAACGGCATGTTACTCGGCCTTTTCCAATTATGATATTCATCATCTTTGACGAGTGCTGTTCTAAATTATACGCCCCCTGTAGTCTTAATTTTCATATGCCGATGAATAGCTATACCCATGCAGATATATATAGACAGTGATTTATTTGGCTGCGTTATTTAAACAGACATGCGGTTATTCATATTTGCGAGACCTGCAATCCCATGCAATATGATATGTGCCACCATGCGTTTTCAATGTTGCATGACCCCCCCTTCCCCCTAACTTAATGTTGTATTTCAACAGTTAATTAAGACTAACACCTCGAATAGTGAAAACCATCACTACCCAACATAGAGACAGGGTGCGGGAGTATGTAGTGTCTCATTAATTTTTCATAAGATTGTGGCTGTTGCATGACTCTTTTGGTTTGATTCCAGGAAAACGGATACTAGGAATTAGAAAATGTTGAATAACCCCTGCTGTGTGCGAGCTAATGCCATTATAATTTGGTGTATACATAATACCAAAGTGTGTTTCTTCATCTATTTCATCTTTGGTTACAAAACCTGCCTCAGAATGAAATTCAAAGGAATAGGTTAGCTGCAGAGAAGCTATTTGGCTGCGTTATTCAAGCTGTTCGTATCCGCGGCAGACCTGCTTATTCGTTTCTGTTTCGATTGCAGGAAAACGAATACTTGGAAACTTAAATTACCCCTGCTGTGCAGAGCCAAAGACACACCATGCAAAGTGTTTTTCCGCCTCACAATTCCCGTTAAACAGCCACAAACCAAGCGATATAACCCTTTAACTATAGACATCTATTATATGTTTGTTTAGGGAATCAACGCTAGTATTATAGCTGTTTCTATAGCTGTAGTTTGACAAACTAAATAAAAAATCATAATTATGATGAGGAAAAGCTGTGTATAATACTATAGTCTGCAATTCCTTTCAGTTTTAGACTTTTAGTTCTACTTTCGTATCGCCAGTTGGATCGATCCATTTCACACTGCCGGGAAAGAAAGATCCAATGCGGTCTTTTCAGCAGCTAACTGCTTCCTCTGGGCTTCACTCCAAGGCATATCTTAATTGTTTTTGATACGAGAGTTCAATAACGCGCTCTTTCCCTAGTTGGTTTCAGTTTAGGTGCGTTGCTACGTGTCGAATTTGCATGTTTGTTTATGGCTTTTTCTCAGAAATACATCAGTGGCCATGGCGTATAGCCTGCATAGCAACTATTAGCCCATAACAACTATTTTGCTATATATAGTTATATATAGTTAAGTTATAACAAGCTATATATAGTTAAGATCATGTAAATTTCGCTCTCGTTAAGTTTCAATAGACAAATTCGTTCCTGCCTGCTGTGATTTCAACCTTGTCTTCCCTCCTAACCTCATAACCGAAGCTATGCAGCTATGATTCTTTTCTTCAAATGATTTTGAAACTGCAGGTTTAAGCAGGATTCCACAATTGCATTAGCCAGTAGGGAGCTTCTTTGTCAGTTAAAATGAAACTATTTTCAATTTTATAGAGTCTTCATCATTGTTGAAAGTTATAATTTTCCATCTTATACTCAAATAGCTTTTTTCCACTGAATAGGAACTTGCGGAATGTTGCCACAAGTCACATATCGTATATACGCGCAAGATAGTTTGTTCTTGCGTCTATAGATATGATTACGGTTTTGAATTAGTATTATCATTATAACAGAAACTAAAACGCCCAACAGATTCATTTATATATAAAAATGAATATATCGTATACATTGGTAAACGCTATAAGCCTATATGCATGGCTATAAAAATTTGACATTTATTTACACGTTAAGTCCAAATTTTGTTTATTTATGTCCGTCTTACATCACATACACTGACAACCAAGTCCACGACCCTCCATCTCAGGAAGGAAATAGTCCATAGACTCCTCTGTTCTCAAATGACCTTCGTAGGCTTCAAGCCAGACTCTTCCTTTCATAATGACTTCGCACAGCGAAGAACGATTTGTCCATTGGCTGGGGTGATAGTGGCATATCCTCACATAACCATCACGTTTTGATAAAGTATGATTACTCCCGTTCCAATCAGGCATCGGATTGGGTGAAGAAACAACGACCATATCCGGGACTGAATTTGGAAAATCGCCGATGTAAATCCTGAGAGTGTATTCGTTGTCGTTGTTTGTTTTCAACGTCACTTCCAGTTTCGTATCGCCCGTTGGATCAATCCATTTCACATTGCCGGGAAGGTAATGATCTAGGAGAGTCTTCTCCGCTGCCAACCGATTTCTTTGAGCTTCGCTCCGAGGCATATTGTTGAAAAGTGCGACGAAGGAAGCAGTTTGCGTAGTTATTTGAAATACGCCGTCACGCTTGTTAGATTATGAAGAATTGTTGATTCATCGTGACTCATGTATAAAAGTGCAAAATGAAAGTAATAAAACCACCACGACAAAATCGTAGCTATGTCTCGTGTCAAGCCAAATTGTATATCAAGTTTCGTCATACCACTATCTATAATATATTGTTTTTTATTTGTTCAGAGAAATATTTATACATAAAATAATTATAGGAAGACCACGAAATCCAGACTTCAAAAATAATTTTTTTCTGGCAGGAAGATATGTAACGTATGCAACATTTATATCTCAATTAATTAAATACATATGTCCACAATTATTAAACCACAGTTGATTTATAGCTAAATAAAATCAATCCCGAAGTAAATGATGCTGAAATGGTGAAATACACGTTATAATATGTCAGTATATATAGTGCCCGTACAGTCCAAACGTGAAATCCCGTTCATATGAATATTCAAATAGAAATAAGATCGTCAATTTTCCTTTTCACGTTCCAACTCTCCACTAGCTATTGATATCATCGGCGATGATTAATCTGGAAAAGAAGCCAGACCTGGCTACAGGTATTCCGACGGTATCGTCAGAATTCGATGTCGAAATTACAATTAATTTTCCAGTTTGTTGATCGAATTTCAATGTCTGAATTGATCCACTTGCCCATTTCAATTCTCGTTCATTGAACACAGCTCTGTCATGAAGCACATCTTGAACTTTTTCAGCATCCGCACGATTGTCACTCATTTTAGTTCAATTGTGTTGTGTTGTGTTGCGTTGCGTTACTTGCGTACCACGTTTGCCTTCCTTTGTCGTTATGAGCTACCACTGACAGCGATGTGACTTGATTTGAGAGACGAGGTCTTGGAAACGAGTCTTGCGCGAGTTAGTATGATTGACCACTGACCAGTCATCTTTCATTATACAGATTCTTATTTACAGAGACTTCATAAACTGTACAATAAATCAAAGTAAAACTATGTATGCATACATTTATACACATGCAACAAATCAGTCTACATTAATTCCATAATAACATATACATATAACATAACAGCATTGTTAAAGTTAAAAGACTCTGATAATGTTGACGAGGTCATTCCTCGCATAAACTCAGTCATGAGTAGTAAAAATAAAATCCATTTTCTGCCATGCCCAGATAAATCTGGTTATCAACATTTTCTTCTCTCCTGAAGCAGGAACCAAGACACGTCTTTGTGTTGCTCTCACTCGTACATTTGTTGTTGTCGTTTTTGCTGTCAATGCCTGCACAATCTTTTATATCTTCCTTCGGTTTCTGAAGTTCACCTGCTCTTGTATTCGGTACGCGAGGTATTTCCTCATCGTTGTCGTGAACAGCTGCTACACACTCTTTCATATTTTCTTCTAGTTTCTCAATTCCAGCTGTTCTCGTATTTGCCTTTGGCTTTGGTAGGCGAAGAACCTCTTCAACCTCTTCTTCAACGCTGTCGTAAATATCAAAATATTCCTCTATATTTTTACCCGGCTTTTCTAGTTTATCTGTCCGTGTATTCGGTTCGTGAAGGAGCTTCTCGTCGTTGCTGAGATGAATATTTTTATTTCCTGAATCGCGGACGGTAAACAGCTCTCCAGTTTCAGTTTCAAAAACCATCTTAGTTTCTGCAGGAAGAAAATCAAACTTTCCTTTAGCGATGTTAAAAAACATCATCATGTGTTCGCTTTCTTCACCAACAACTGGAATAGCTTTAATGTCACCGTGAGGTCCATACGCCATTTTAGTTGTGCATGTATATTAGAGATTAAATTACAACCAAGTTGTTTCAGTTTTAATAGACATGGTTTATGCAACGGAATGAACGAATGAAATAATCCTGGCGTGAAGAAGGCACGGAATAGTCCATAAACAGACTAGCTGTTGGCTGTTGTTATGGCTGCTAGCTAATGCATACATTTTCTCGTAAATAATTGAGTTGTGACTTGTATTTGTTTATAAAGACGACAATGTTAATGCCGGCAATGAGAAATTGAACTAACTTCATGTTCCTTGTGAACCTGCCTTACAAACCCTAACTTTATTCTATAATACACTAGATATTTATTCCGTTACTATATTTATATGAACAAAATCGTCTTGTTTTTGTTTAGTTTCACTTTAATAAATTTGCATACGTTTTGAACCTCAGTTATTCTTGGAATCCGTGAAGTTATTACTCGGAATTTATCTGCCATCAGTCGTTAAAATGTACCCATGACAAAGACATCACTTTTTTGGTGGAACTGTGGAAGGTCGAAACTCGAAAGTTTGTTGTACTATAGTCATAACTAAATGGTGATCTCCTTGCAGTTATAGCTTCCGAGTTCTCCATCATTAAAACTTCATCCAAATCTAGTATAAAATTGAGCGCACAATTATTAGAATGGTGGACAATTTGAGCTGGAGCTGAGTTACAGCAAGTTGCAATAAAACATCACTGTTTACGACGAACACCCCTGTGGTTTTTCCAGGAAGTTCGGATACGTTTTCTGTATGAAATTGTGAAAGTAAATGTTAGCGAGTAAATGTTTATTTATGTCCGTTTTACATCACATACATCGACAATGAAATAGTCCATAGGTCCCTCTGTTCTCAAATGACCTTTGTAGGCTTCGAGCCAAACTCTTCCTTTCATAATGACTTCATACAGCGAAGAACGATTCGTCCATTGGCTGGGGTGATAGTGGCATGTTCTCACATAACCATCACGTTTTGATAAAGTATGATTACTCCCGTTCCAATCAGGCATCGGATTGGGTGAAGAAACAACCACCATATCCGGGACTGAATTTGGAAAATCGCCGATGTAAATCCTGAGAGTGTATTCGTTGTCGTTGTTTGTTTTCAGCGTAACTTCCAGTTCGTATCGCCCGTTGGATCAATCCATTTCACATTGCCGGGAAGGTAATGATCTAGGAGAGTCTTCTCCACTGCGAACAGATTTCTTTGAGCCTCGCTCCAAGGCATATTGTTAAAAAGTGCGACGAAGGAAGCAGTTTGCGTAGTTATTTGAAATACGCCGTCACGCTTGTTAGATTATGAAGAATTGTTGATTCATCGTGACTCATGTATAAAAGTGCAAAATGAAAGTAATAAAACCACCACGACAAAATCGTAGCTATGTCTCGTGTCAAGCCAAATTGTATATCAAGTTTCGTCATACCACTATCTATAATATATTGTTTTTTATTCAGAGAAATAATTATACATAAAATAATTATAGGAAGACCATGCACGAAATCCAGACTTCAAAAATAATTTTTTTCTGGCAGGAAGATATGTAACGTATGCAACATTTATATCTCAATTAATTAAATACATATGTCCACAATTATTAAACCACAGTTGATTTATAGCTAAATAAAATCAATCGCAAAGTAAACGATGCTGAAATGGTGAAATACACGTTATAATATGTCAGTATATATAGTGCCCGTACAGTCCAAACGTGAAATCCCGTTCATATGAATATTCATATAGAAATAAGATCGTCAATTTTCCTTTTCACGTTCCAACTCTCCACTAGCTATTGATATCGTCGGCGATGATTAATCTGGAAAAGAACCCAGACCCACGGCTATAGGTATTGCGACGTTATCGTCAGAATTCGATGTCGAAATTACAATTAATTTTCCAGTTTGTTGATCGAATCTCAATGCCTGAATTGATCCACTTGCCCGTTTCAATGCTCGTTCATTGAACACAGCTCTGTCATGAAGCACGGCTTGAACTTTTTCAGCATCCGCACGATTGTCACTCATTTTAGTTCAATTGTGTTGTGTTGTGTTGCGTTGCGTTACTTGCGTACCACGTTTGCCTTCCTTTGTCGTTATGAGCTACCACTGACATCGATGTGACTTGATTTGAGACACGAGGGCTTGGAAACGAGTCTTGCACGAGCTAGTATGATTGACCACTGACCAGTCATCTTTCATTATACAGATTCTTATTTATCAAACTCACTGTGAGCCCATGATCAAACTCGGGCCGAATATGCAGCTGTACTGCACAATTACAATAAAGTAAAACTATATATGCATACATTTATACACATGCAACAAATCTACATTAATTCCATAATAACATACACATATATAACATAACATCATCTACTAATCTGGGCCGTAGTTGTTGAAGTTAAAAGATTCTGATAATGTTGACGAGGTCATTCCTCGGATAAACTCAGTCATGCATGGGTAATAAAAATAAAATCCATTTTCTGCCATCCCCAGATAAATCTGGTTATCAACATTTCCTCCTCGTCCTTGCTGTCAATGGCTGCACAATCTTTCAGATCTTCCTTCGGTTTCTCAAGTTCACCTGCTCTTGTATTTGGTATGCGAGGTATTTCCTCATCGTTGTCGTGAACAGCTGCTGCACACTCATTTATATTTTCTTCTAGTTTCTCAATTCCAGCTGTTCTCGTATTTGCCTTTGGCTTTGGTTGGCGAAGAATCTCTTCAACCTCTTCTTCAACGCTGTCGTAAATATCAAAATATTCCTCTATATTTTTACCCGGCTTTTCTAGTTTATCTGTCCGTGTATTCGGTTCGTGAAGGAGCTTCTCATCGTTGCTGAGATGAATATTTTTATTTCCTGAAACGACGGTAAACAGCTCCCCAGTTTCAGTGTCAAAGACCATCTTAGTTTCTGCAGGAAGAAAATAAAACTTTCCTTTAGCGACATTAAAAAACATCATCATGTGTTCGCTTTCCTCACCAACAATTGGAATAACTTTAATGTCACCGTGAGGTCCATTCGCCATTTTAGTTGTGCATGTATATTAGAGATTAAATTACAACCAAGTTGTTTCAGTTTTAATAGACATGGTTTACAACGGATGAAATAATCCTGGCGTGAAGAAGGCACGGAATAATGAATAAACAGACTGGCTGTTGGCTGTTGTTATATGGCTGCTAGCTAATGCATTGCAATGAGTTGTGAATTGTATGTGTTTATAAAGACGGCAATGTTAATGAGAAATTGAACCAACTTCATGTTCCCTGTGAACCTGCCTTACAAATACAGGCCTTACTTTATTTCGTAATACACTAGATATTTCTTCCATTACTATATATATTTTATATGAACAAAATCGTCGCATAAAAACTCTAAGTATTTGTTTGGTTTCACTTCAATGAATTTGCATACTTTTGGAACCTCAGTTATTCTTGGAATCCGTGAAGTTATTACTCGGAATTTATCTGCGAATAGTCGTTGAAATGTACCATGACAAAGACATCACTTTTTTGGTGGAACCGTGGAAGGTCGAATCTCGAAATAAACTAAATGGTGATCTCCTTGCATCTCCTTGTGATCTTATAGCTTCCGAGTTCTCTCTCATTGAAACTTCAGCGAAGTCTAGTATATAAAATTGATCGCACAATTACTTGTATTATAGAATGGTGTACAATTTGAGCTGAAGCTGAGTTACAACAAGTTTGCAATAAAACACCACTGTTTACCACGAGCCCCCCTGTGGTTTTTCCAGGAAGTCCGGATACGTTTTCTGTATGAAATTGTGAAAGTAAATGTTGGTGCTTTGATCTGTTGTTGATACAAAGAGCTAGGCTGTAATGCTTTGCCTTATCGTTAGTGAAAGACCACGCGGGTTTTACTAATAATGCCTTGGACATTTCAGACACTTTTATAAACTTCTATCAATAACTTTGTTTCCACTTATTCATTGAGACCATTTTTGTGCAATAAATAAATGGAACTTTCAAATGAGAAATCAAGATAAGGTCTTTAAATTTAGGCTCGGGACATATAAAATAAGTGATATTCATGCCATGCAACCCGAACTAAACCAAAGATATAACCCCAACTGCATGTGGAATCGACATTGTTGTCAACGCAACTATACATGGTATAACCATATTTAGATAGCTATCAATGTTCTATATTGTATGCAGCTTCGAGTCCACAATATCTTTAAATTAAATGAATATTGTGATGATGCAGTCTTCTAAAATTGTTCATGATTCATCTCACTGGCACACACAAGTGACACAACTACTCTCTGTTCCACTGGGTCGGCTCGACACGGAACTTTCTGGCAAAGATGGCAAACTTCCACAACTGCCCATTTCCCGAAGGAAGTAACTCATAGACTGGCCTGTTCTCAAATGACCTTCGTAGGCTTCGAGCCAGACTCTTCCCTTCATAACCACTTCATACAGCGACGTACGATCGGTCCACTGACTATCGTGATATAGTGAAGTATGATTTGCAACTCCCCACTCAGGCATTGGTTTTGGTGAGGAGACAACGACCATAACAGGAACTGAATTTGGAAAATCACCGAGGTAAACCCTGAGAGTGTACTCGTTGTTGTTGTTTGTGTTCAACCTCACTTCCACTTTCGTATCGCCAGTTGGGTCGATCCACTTCACGCAGCCGGGAAAGTAATGATCCAGTACGGTCTTTTCAGCGGCTAACCGCTTCCTCTGAGCCTCATTCCAGGGCATATTTTGAATATTTTTTGATACGAGGATCAATATGTAACGTGCTCTTTCCTAACTTGGTTTCAGCGGTGTAATATACAGATAATACAATATATATTAATAACTAATTATAATACTAAAATAGAGATGATTGACATTATGTTGACAGGACTAATTAAGGAGGTAGATAGAACAAGAGAGTATGGTAGTAGGGTTAAGAAATATACAAGATTTAGAATAGAAGATACATACAGAAAGAATATTACATTGGCGACGAGAATGGCAGAAGAAAACGTCCAAGAAGATAATACAAATGTACAAACAGTGACATCGTCTCTTTCGATACAACCCATAGCAGAATTCAACCCAGACATAGAAATCGGTGCTAGCTTAGCGACGCGATGGAACACATGGCTCGCAGACTTTGAAATGTTTCTACTCGCTAGTGGAATTCAAGATAAAAGGCGACAAAGAGCGCTTCTTCTTTATCAAGCTGGCTCGCGCATCCGTGAGATATTTCGACAGTTAAATGATACAGGCGATGACGATGACTATGAGCGTGCCAAAACAAAACTTACGGAATACTTTGAACCACAAAAAATCGCCGCTACGAAGTATACAAATTTCGAGAAGCTAAACTTTGCCACAATAACAGCACCGTTACGTGAGTTGACAAAAAAAAATACGAAATTTGAATGGCGAGACGTTCATCAGAAGGCATTCCAACAATTGACATCTGCACTATCAGCGAACGAGTGCATGGCATATTTTGACACTCAAAAGGACACATATATCACAGTAGATGCAAGTCCAGTAGATATATCCGCTATTTTATCACAATCAACGCCAGGCAAAGATGATGAGAGAGTCGTAGCCTACGCCAGTCGGGCACTGACGGAAGTCGAAAAGCGATATGCGCAAACAGAGCGTGAAGCCCTAGCAATCGTCTGGGGAATAGAACACTTCCATCTCTTCATATATGGTTCGCATTTCACATTAGTCACTGACCACAAGCCTCTTGAGGTCATATACGGCAACAGAAACGCAAAAGCATCTGCCCGTGTTGAGCGCTGGGTTCTGAGACTTCAACCTTATTCATTCAAAGTTATTTATAGACCAGAACGAACGAATCCTGCTGATTATCTCTCTAGGCACCCAGTAGAAACAAGCTTCGAACAGCAACGCATGACCGAAGAATATGTGAACTTTATCGCACTCAACAGCGTTCCGAAGACCATGACAATTGAAGAAAGTATAAAAGCGACGGATGAAGACGAAGTGTTAAAAGGTGTTCGAGCAGCAATCAAACTAAATAAGTGGGACTACAACATTGTTAAACAGTTCAAGCAAATCAAAGACGAGCTGTCCGTTACAACGAAAGGAGTTATACTCCGTGGTGCCAGAATAGTAATTCCAGAAAGCCTTCAACAAAGAGCCATTGATATTGCTCATGATTGTCATATGGGACTAACAAAGACCAAGGCACTTTTAAGAGAAAAAATATGGTTTCCTAATATAGATCAATTAGTGAAAGACACCTTGGCGAGATGTATTCCTTGTCAAGCGGTAGGAAAGCCAAAACCACCAGAACCTCTGTCTATGACGAGCATGCCAAAGGGACCTTGGGAAGTTATTCATGCCGATTTCTACAGTCCGTTACCATCTGGAGAATATCTTCTAGTAGTGATCGATAGGTACTCCAGGTATCCAGAA